TAAAATTGTTACACAAACTCTACAGTTTAAGGGATAAGATTTATTATTTCTTGTTTTCTTCAGAAATGATTTACTAATTAAATTTTCACTTAAAACTTCAACATGTTTGATATATCGTAAGATCCCAAATATAAGCAACCTCTGAAAATAAGCAACTCTCTAGATTTTACTACTAAAATATGAAAAAAATAAAATAAGCAACTCTTTTTTAAAAAATTACTAAATATAATAAAATTTATTATATATAATATTAATCTTTATTAAAATTTTATTAATATTCGATTATAATATAACAAAATTATCTTAATCTTCTAATTCTAATTCTTCGGTAGACAAACTATCTTTATTTACTATTTCAAGTAAATCTTTATTATTATTTAAATCACTATTTTCTTTATCTAAATTATATAACAAATCATCTTCTGTCCCATCCAATTCATTTAAAATACTACACTTTTTAAATAATTTAATAATTATCTCTGCAGAAATATTATTCCAGGTTTCTAAAATCCATTAACAAATTAAACTATACGATGATCATTTTAAATTTTCATGTTTAGTCAACTCAAATTCACTATTACTTATCCATAAATACTACTTTTTCTTTAATCTATCTTTGAACAGTTTATTAATGCTTATATCCAAAGGTTGTACAATTGATGTTAAACCCCCAGAAATAATAATTTTATGTGTTTTACTATATTTGTTTGGTGTCCTTCAAATAAATCTATAACAAACAAAGACAAAGGCTTATTTACGATTGATATTTCTGGCTGCTTGTTCCAAACTTTATTAATCTATTCACATATTAAGTTTTCATCCATCCAAGTATTTTCAAAATCACGAGGAATTCATATACTCTTAAAAATTATCATAGAAGGAAGTTTTTTACCATTTGCTTTAATTGCTAAAACACAGGTAAACCGGTTTTTTCATTTAAGTTGTTCTAATTTGAATAGTTTTCGCACCTTTTTGATTAATTATATAAGAACCTGTCATGTCAAAATATACTGGTGTTTTATTCATATTTACAATTTGAGAAAGATTATACTAATATTCTAACCGAGATCAAATTACAAATTTAATAATTTTTTCAATAAGATCTTCAGATAACTTCTGGCTAATTTTAGTATGATGACAAAGAAAAAGATAATATCACTTTAAAAATCGGTAAAACCAGGACTTGAAAGTATGAAATTGTTAAGAAGCACCCAAGTATTTATTAGCACAAGTTGTTGATAAGATTGTAATCATTTGTACTTTAATAGAACCTGCTGTAACTGCAATTCCTATTTAGCAAAGCTCACTTAACCATCTAACAAGTTCTTCTTCAGCAGCTGGGTAAAATAAAACTCTTCCAGCATAGTATTAGTGTATTTTTTTTTATTAAATTTTCATCATGATACTATAGACTAATCAATACCAAAGTGATATAAAGCTTCTTGAATAACGGCAAGTTTTTCAGATACTTTATATTAAGTTCTTTGAATGTGGCTTCTAATTTTAACTGCTTTATTTGCCTTATTTGCTGCATTACTAATAACAGTATTTATTTTTTTGATTTTTTTTTGATTGTTTTTTTTTGTAACTAAACTACCAGTATTCGATATGAAAAGGCAAGTAAAAAAAAAAATAAAAATCTTAATTTAGAAAAAAAAAAAGTTCGTATAAAATGTAGTGTAATGCTAATATGAATGTGAATAGTGAATTATTAGCAAATAGTTCTAAACAGTAAATGACAATATATAATAAAGATAAGTAGTGTATAGGTACTTTAAAGCTAGTCTTGTAGAATTTAAACACTCGATAGTAAAGTAAAAATGGTTTATTTTACAACTTATGAGGATACTCATATTATCTCTTTAATAGATAATAAAAGTTTATTATTGTTGTAGTATAGTAATTTATGAAACTTATAATAAAGTTAAATTGCATTTATTTTTTATAACCCCAATACCATGTTGATAATGAAGACCAACATTATTCCACTAGCATAATCTATGCTTGCAGATTTTTGAAAATACCGTTACTTAAAAAAAAAAAAAAAATCATGATTGATTATACTATACTGCAGGTTGGTTATTTATATATAAAGTAGATCGACCAATAGAAATTATATATTCAAAAGTCTTTGAATTTAAGCAACCCCTGAAAAAATAGGTGGCTTAGGGGGTTGCTTATTTTCGAAACTTTACGGTATTAGTTTATATACAAAAATTTATAGAAAAGGTTTTCTTGTTATCTAATAAATTTTGAGCTATTACTTTGCTAGCTTTTAAATTGATACTTATACTTTAAACTAATAACATAATAATGATAAGTAATCTTGTTAGTAAAGTTGGTTTTAGATTATTCTAAAATAAAAAGATTTGTTTTTAAATATTATAAAATTTCTAAATTGTTTCAAATTATTCTAAATTGCTCTATATATGAAAGCACTAATAATTGATATAAATATACTTTTAAACACACTTGTAGTTTATTATATTCATGACTAAATTAGTAACAGTAAAGTGAGTTATGTTATATTTTAGTTATAAGTAATAATGAAATAATTATAATTGATTATTAATATATATAAAAAAGAAATTAGTATAAAAAGAATAAACATTCAAATATTATAGTAGTTTGTTTTTAAACTTTACAAAGATAACATGATAATTGATAATTATCTCACTATAATTTGATTTTTATTTTAATTTTATTAATTTCTATATAAGAAATTAATAAGTTTTTTACACATATTAGATTATAAAGTTAATCTAGAATCAAATTTAGGTAGGTAGATATAGAGCAAACTGAATTTGCTCCAAATTACTCTATATAAAGCAAACTAGATCGACTCTATGTAAAGCAAACCAAATATTCAATATCATTTGGTTATTGAAGTAGATTTGGAGTCGACTTAAAAAGCTTAACTCAAACCAATTTAAAAACCAATTAAACTGAGATGTTTAACATTTCTAGTTATACAAAGTATAATCTAAAGTATAATCTGGAGTATAGCCTGTAGTATAACCTGGAGTATAACCTGAAGTATAACCTGAAGTATAACCCAAAGTATAACCCAGAGTATAACCAGAGTATTGATTTGAGGTATAACCTGAGTTGAGTTAAAGTAAAACTTGCTTCTTTAATTTTAACTCAACTCACTCCACTTTACTCTATTAACAACCCTAATAATAGTATATATCTTTTTTTTTTTTCTGTCAACTTTTAGATTTCTTAATAGAGATAAATTTTATTTTTGTTTGCCCTCAGGTATTTTTTTATTTTTTATATTTTTTATTTCTTCTTTTGTTTTTTTTTGAATTTTCTCTTTTATTTATTTTGTTTTTTTTAGTTATATTTTCTTTTCTTTGTTAATAAGTGGTTTTGTATTGTAAATATAAAATCATTACTTTCTTTTGCTCTCAGTAAAGAAAGAAGAATTAAAGATATTAGCTTTAGATAGGCTAGTAATGTCTATTTAACTTGTATAAGTTGGTATACTAAACATGTTTTATCATAGCCAAAAAATATTGGGCTTGCAATTTCTATAAGACTGGTTAGGTCTTTATTCATATTTGTTTTAGTAATTATATACATTCTTAATAAGGTTATTTGTATTTGAGCTTTAGCAAGACCATCAAAGAGTTTAAAAAAAAAAAAAGTGTTTTTTTTGCCAAAATTTATATATAAATTAAAGTGAGTTATCTCATTTGATTTATATTTAATTTAAATCTAAAGAACACATGTTCTGTGATTGTTAAATATATATAAATATATATAAAATTAAATAAATCAACTTATTTGATTTTTTTTTTTTATTCTCACATTAAAAAAAAAACAATTACAGTAAAATTTTATTAATTAGATAAAAATTATTGATGTTCACAAATGTGAACATATGATTTCCAACACTAATTAAAACATGTCCTATGACAGATAATGTTTTAAGAATCTTTAAAACAGACAAGAAAAATCACATCTTAAACCCGGGTTAAATGAACTTAAATAGGTAAAATTTTTAGAATTTTAGTGACTACCGTTTTTTATACTTCGTATTTTCAATTATTTTGTTTTCAGGTTTATAAAAATTTCACATTTAGATCATGATCTATTCCCGCTTTAGAACCTCTATTTATGGATATCCTTAGGTTAGGTAGAAAAAATTATTATTTATGGAGAATTTGAATATTTAATACATAATTCCCGCTGTCATTAATTAACGTGCAAACTTTTTTTCTAATTCAACAAATTAAGTTAATCTAAAAGTGAAATTTAAATTATTGTTTTAACAGTATATAGTAACTATTAATATTATTATACGTCCGACTTTTCTAACATTTCTGCAACCACAGCTTTATTAAACTCAATAGGATTATCAAGGTACAAGTGATGGCCAGCATCCTGGATTGTAATGACTTTTGTAGGGACTTTCATATTTTTACTTGCTTCTACAGCGGCACGATAATCCATCCAATCATGTTGACCATCTGGATATGCATAAAAGATATAAATAGTGAGTGAAAGAATTTCATCAGCTACCTTCTATAATATAATGTCAAAGGAAACTTACATAAAAAGGTAGTTGGCATTTTCAAATTTGGTAAACGATTAATCAATGGTTTTCTCGCAAAAGCACCTGGAGCAAGAATCCTTGATAAAGCAAATTCACCGCTTCCAGGAGCAGAAGATATGTGATAAAGGTAATCATGTAAATCAAACTGATCTTGCTCATCAAGATTAGCAAATCGACGAGTCGTATATCTATTGACCAATGAAGGACCAAAAGGACCAGCCCATCTCATAATCAATTGTGGAGTAATGTCACCATCCCATAATTTAGTTATAATATTAAACATAGTGCGACCAATACGATTCCTTAAGGTTTCTGGGCCGTTAAGGTTTGCAGGAATTCCAACAGGAGAAACCAATATCAGACGTTCCACGCGATCAGGATATTTTAAAGCATATACAGCAGCAAAATAACCACCCAAACTGTAAAATTGATAATAATATATAAATTAATATTTTTATATTATTATTAAAAATTAAAAATTATAAAATTGAAAATTGAAATATTTTACCTATGACCTAATAAAGTCATTTTCTCAATTTTATGCAATTGACGCCATTTTTCAAGAGAATCGACAAAAAAATTTTCAGTTTCCTCGACAGATTCATCAAAAGTATGAGATTTTATAGTAAATTTCGGACGGGAACTTCTACCCATACCTAACCAATCAATACTATAAATTCTCCAACCTGGAACCTGACTAAGATCATGATAGTTCCTGTAAAAGAAACCAAGACCAGCACCATAACCATGACATATTACAAGATTTTTTATTGAAGAAGGTGGTTTATCATTGATAGCAGTAGTATCAGATTGAACGGAAAGTTGAGTTTGTGATATAGGAGAATAGCCAATATCATTAACAGTCCAAGATTGATTTTTTGCTTGAGTAACTTTTCCATTTTCAATAGCGAAATCATTGCCACTTTGATCGATTACTAAAGTATTTATCATTCTTTTACCGTCACCATCTAAATCGACCAAACCGACACGAGCGACAGTTTTCGAGTCTTTAGGAGTGGCAACAGTCTTTCCACCAATTGAAAAGAATTGAAGCCTTGACAGAAGACGTGCTTCGGCGGTTTCAGAAGTACGTTCAGAACGCGAATACCAATGCTTGATAGAGGCGAAATGACCATTTGGAGATCTATTGAGAAATGGAATTCCAATGATCAGCATTCTATGCTTTATCATATTAACACAACAGAAATAAATCGGTTAAATGAATACTAACGGTGCAGGCGGAATAAGTACCTGAGTTGAGAGTGTAGTAGTATTTAATAATAAGGAATCTGAGTTTGTAGTCATGGTTGCTAAACTTTACAAGTTTTTTAACATGAGGACGTTGCATTATCAGTTATTTATCTTCATTTCTTTATTTATTAGAAGGATAAATCCCGGACCGGTATATGTATAATTTACAAAAATTTTTTGTTTATCGGAATTTTCTAGAACGAATATGAAATAAATATAGACTAAATATGTTCAGTTTTTAAATTTTACGTACGACGTCGGAAATCCGGAGCAATAGTACTTCTTTTTTTGATCTTTTAGTAACGGTAAGTATGACGTATATTTAATAAGCGTACGTACGACGTACGTACGTACGTATAGTGATTTAAGCCGGCTGGCTAAGCCAGCCGACTAAAATATCGGCTAATCGGCTGGCTAAATACCATACTTCCGGAAATTTTCGGTAAACTTTATGTTCATTTATTTTCCTTTTCGGAATTTACCAGAATCCTACTATATACTAAATTATATTATCTTTAGCTGCATTAGCCAGCAGATCATATTACATTGGCTGGCTTAGCCGGCTAAGCCAGCTTAGCTGCGGCTGCCATAGCCGGCTTAAATCACTAATTAATAATACAGTAACATTCTGCGGCAGGGTCGGCAATGGATATACTCCATTGAAAAATTACCATGGAGCGAAATAAAGCCAATTGAAATTTAACAAAGCCAATGAGGAATAGAATTCTAATCTATATACTGATAGTTTGACCTATTAGAATAGAATTGGTAGACAAATAACAAAGTCATAAAAATTTTTATAAAAATAAATATAAATAACAATATTATTAACACTTAGTTGAGTCTTGTAACTAAGTTGAAATTATTTGAGTCTTGTACAAAATTGTTATCATATATCAGGAAGATTAATTCTAGAGTTTATTGGGAAAGTTTTTTTAATACAGATCTGTGCAGATTTCTAAAAAAAGTAATTATTAAAAATTAATGCAAATCTGTGACTCTGCTAGTGGTCATTGACAAATCTGTACAAATTTTTAAACCAAAAACAATACACTCTATATATCATATAATTAACAAATAATAGTAAATAATTTATTTTGTTACTGTATTAAATAATTATTTAGATATCACATGCTGCAATGTGCTTATATATTGCATTTTAACAATTGGCCAATTAAATTTGAAGATCAGGTATAACATGCAAATTAATTTTGTATAATAAAAATAAAGAAATTTTTTAAAATTGTGAAATAGTACAAAATGCTATTTATGAAACTGCCTTTGAGCTCTAACAAAAAAAATTTATTGCAAAATTTCGGTATATACTATACTCTACTCTAATTGCTACCCGCTAACCCCAACTCTAACCCAAATTCTAATCTAATATTAATTTTTTTGGTTTATTTGTTAGGTTTTGTTAATATTAAATAATTTCTTTTGGCTTTTTGCATTAAACTTCAATATTTTTTATATATTTTTTTTCTTTTCAATATTCTTTAACTTGTTGATTATATGAATTTTTAATTTGGTTTAATTGATGATCTGCCAGTCACCTGGTGCATGATCATAGTGTAATATGATACAGATTACTATATAAATTACATAAGCGGAAAATATGAAGATTTTTTGACAATTATTCAAAGAAACTTTTTTTCATACTAAGTTAATCGATAGGGCCAATTAATTGAAAGTTGTAGAGCTCGCTGAGGCGCATCTAATGGTGGTTAAATCATTCAAATCAGCCAAATAGGTCGTGAAATATCGCCAAAAAATGATTGGCTAACTATATAAAATTTCTATAGAGATTTTATATAGTTGGTCAATCGTATTTTGGCAATATCTCGCAAACCACTAGGCCGATTTGGATAATTTAACCACTATTAGATGCACCTTAGCAAGCTCTACAATTTTCAATTAATTGACCCTGTCAATTAACTTAGTATAAAAAAATGTTTTCATTGAATAATTGTTAAAAAATCTCTATATTTCCTGCTTATGTAATCTACATAGTGATCTGCATCATGTTACACTATGTTTATGCACCAGGTGACTGGTGAATTATCAATTAAAAAATTAAAAAATTATATAATTACTTAAAATATTTTTGTATACAATTTTTCAAATAAATTGCAACTAGTTTGAATAAAATAGAAATAAGCAAAAAAAAAAAAAATCAAAAAGAACAAGAAAATAGAATACCTTATAATAAAAATCTTAAAAAAAAGCTAGATTATATAGTGTAGGCAACAAAAAACTAGAAAGTAATCTTATAGTTAATTGTGAAATGCAAAATAGTATATTGGAGCAAATCTTAAATAGATTACAAAGAGTAGAAGAAAAACCGAAGGCCTTAGCCTCAAATTTCTCCTAAGGGCACTCAGTTGAATTAACAGAAACAAACAAGCAAAAGAGCTTGTCAGGGCAAACTTCACTTAAGATAACTTATAATGCTCTAGAATCAGATTTAGAATTAGTGCCAGAAAACATAGTTAAAAAAAACAGAATAAAGAAAAGTTTCGAGCAAGTAAAAATAGGGTTTCACAATATTAATGGTATAAAAGACAACAGAACAAAACTGCAAGAGCTCATAGACTTTGGTATAGAAGAAAATATAGATATTATAGGAATAACAGAAACAAATATGAATACAAGAGAAGCAGTTTTCTTTGATGTTAATTGGAAACACTATAGAACTTTTTGGACAAAAGATAATATAGAAAAAAAAAAGAATCAGGAGTAGGATTACTAGTAAGAAAGAAATAGCAAACTCACCTTACTGAGGTAATAGTAAAGAACTCTTATGCTCTAAAAGCAGTCTTTAGATTCAAAAGAACAATACTAGCAGTATGGATAGTATATTTTCTACCAAATGACAAATATATGAAAAAAAAGATACAACAATGTATAATGGAAGATATCATCAAAAGTAAATTTAATACAGTATGAAAATAGTTATAGAAGGTGACTTTAATGCAGAAATAGGTAATGAAGCAGGTACTACCCTAAATAATAATATAGAAGAAGTTACACAGAGAAACAATCGATATAAACTTCTAATTATAAGATAGCTACAAAATATAGACTTTGAAGAAGCATTTGTACTTATTAATCCACAAATATTTAAAGCAACCTGGACCAACTCCAAATCCTGCTCAAAATTTGATTATATTTGTTTAGATTCAGAATTAAAAGATTTTGTGATAAATAGTAATATCGAAACTATAAACCTTGTCACAGGAAGCGATCATAATCTAATATGAACAAAATTACTGCTAAGCCTTATACTTCAAACAAACTCAACTGCCCAGCAAAAAAGAAAAGATTTCAGTCAACAGAAAATCTACCTCTATGATAAAATGACTAAAGATAATTGAAAAGACTTTGCATTGCTACTAAAAAAGTATATTGAAAAATATAATAATATAAATTCGAAAAAAGAGATGGTAATATCTAGTTTGTCAAATGAAAAACGAAGTATGAAAAACTAGCAGAACTAATAAATAAGACTACAAATAAAACAATTTCACACAAAAAGATCTTGAACACTACAGTAAAAAAACAAAAACAAGTAATATAGAACTCAAGATATAAGTAGATTAAGCAGCTAAGAAGAATAAGCCATTTAGGATACCAAAACCTAAACAAAGAAATTAAACCTGAAGATCAATACTCTTTAAATATTCAATTAAAACAAGTAAATACAAATAACGAAACTGAAATCCAAGAGATCAAAGAAAATTGGTCTGAACAGTAGATCCAAAATCTCAAAAGTTGGATAAAAGTGATAGAAAGAAAAATGATCTCAAAACAAAAAATAAAGCAAGAGAAAAGAATAAGAAAAAATATTGAAAGGAGATTTGGTATGATCGGATATGAGAATAAAAAAATGCTTAACAGCATCTTTGAAAAACTCTGGAACAAGATCATAATAGAAAAAGTACTTACAACAACAGACTTCACAATGGGAAAAAAAGAGCTTATATATAAACCAGATGATGTTAAAAAAGAGGTAGATAGCTATTTTGTGAAACAATTCAAAGAAGACACCCATTCTCTGGAAAAAAAAAATAGAAGTATGGAAAGAGAAATATACATTATGCGATTTCATTTAATAGCACTAGTACAACAATATTTTAGATGAAATCACAATAGAAAAATAAAAAGAAATACTTCAAAAAATCTCTAACAAATTAGCTCCAGAGTTATCCAATATAGGTTATACAATTCTTAAAAAACTTGGAAGAAAAGCCACGAATTTCCTCTTAAGTCTGCTCAACAAAATTCTAGAAGAAGATATCATGCCAAAGAAATGGAAAGTAGAGATGATTTTTTCAATCTCAAAACTACCAAAATAGAACCTACAAATAGGAAGTACAAGACCTATTATGTTACTTGAAGCAGCAAGGAAAGGACTTATAAGAATTATTCAACAAAAACTTAGCGATATCATTATTCAGCATAAGATTTTAAGAGAGCCAAACTTTGCAAAGCTCCAAAGGGAATGTATCCAAGAACCAATATATATTATGAACTCTCTAATAGAAGCTGCAAAACAGAAAAATCAAGAAATATGGATAACATTTATAGATATTAAAAAAGCATTCAACACTGTAGATCTTAGAAGGCTTCAACTTGCATTAAAAAGAATCAAGGTCCCTGAAAAACTAGAAGTATCTCTGGTTAACATATTTACAAACAGAGAGGTTAAAGTCATCACCAAGTTTGGCCTGTCAGAGAGGTTCTGTTCTAAACGTGGCATAAATCAAGGAGAAGTGATTTTTCTCCTACTTTGAAAAATTTACTTCGACCCATTACTTTGTAAACTCTACAAATGTAAATATGGTACAAAAGCAAGGATAGAGTAGCTAATAAAAATAAGCCGAGAGAAAACAAAAATAGAGGAGATTCAAGTTGCTGGCCTGGCATATGCTGATGATACTGTGCTTTTAGCAAACTCCAAAGAGAATATGCAGAATATAATCAATATCGCAGAATCCTTCTTTTGGTTAAACAATATTGAAATAAATGCTAAAAAAACAGAACTCTTGGTAATAAACAGGAAAAATAAGAAAGAAAAAAAATCGATCTTTATCAAAGAAGGAAAAGAAAGGCTAGTAGCAAAAAAAAAGAGAAAAATAATTTGATATCTAGGAGTCTGGCTAACCACAGCAGACTTGAGGTACACAATTAAAAAAAAGCTTAGTATAGAAATTAAACAAATGACCAACTTGCTTAATAGGAAGAAAATCTCTATAGAACATATTAAATATATAAACAATATAGTGCTTTTACCCAGAGCTAAATATCAACTAAATATGATAATGCTTTCCAAAGAAGAATATGACAAACTGCACTAGCCACTAGTAAGAGTAGCAAAATAGAAAGCAGAGCTAACTTCAACTGCTTCCAACTCTGTTCTGATACAGAACAATATTTGGAAAATAAACTCTTTGTGGCAACGACATACAGAGCATATGTTTATAGAATAGGTAATTAGAATGAATAATCCAGACCTTGTGGGAGATCTTACTAGAATAAAACTAAAAGATGCACAACTCATTATACACTCTACAATACTGATTTAGCTCTTATAAAACAAAGAAATCCAAAAATAGAAATGGAAAAACAATCTTAATACAAGCATTCTAGTAACAGCCAAAAACCTAGGTCTTAATATCAAAAATATAGATATAGAAAAAAACTAAAACATAGTCTTAGACAATAATCTGGTTAATAAGATCAAGATGCTACTAAACGAAGAGAATCTGGAAAAAGCTAGCCAATCTCTTTGTAACCTTAATCTATAGTGTCTGGAACAAATAACCACAAAGCAAAACAATATCATATTTACTTGACAACAAATTAAAAGAACCTGAGGAATTAAACCAAAGGGGAAAACTCCTCAATGGTTTCGAAAGCTAGAAGAAACAGTACTAGCAGACAAACTTTCTCAAAAAATTCACAAGACCTATATACAAGAAAGAGTGATAAACAAAATCTAAATAAAGTCCAAAAGAAGGAAAATATCCCACAAGAGATCAAAAAAAGAATAGGTAATAGGCAAAAAGAAAAATAGCAAAGTACCATTTATAGGCAAAATACAAGAGAAACCTCTGAACCAAAAGGTACATATAATAAAATGGGAAGAGAAAAATAAAGAAAATTTGCAACTCTCTAACTCTTTGAAATTAAGTCTAACCCCAACCAGCAAGACCCTAAAAATTAAAAGCAACAAAATAGAAGATATAAGTTCTTGGATCAAAAGAAGAAGTGAGGGTGGCTGGGCATCACTAATTAGCTTAAAACATCTTAAAGATCTAACAATGCCAGTTAAGAAGACTCCAGAGAAAAGAGAAGAAACAGAAATAGTGTATACAATCTCTGCTGAAAAATAGGAAACCTATCTTATCAAAAGTACTATAAAAAACTTAAGCAAACAAAATAAACTCATCCAGGCACTAGAAGAAAATATAATATATAGTAAAATAATATATTATACAGATAGCTCACTTGGAGAAGGAGGAATAGAGGACCACATAGCAGGTATAGGATAATTCAACTAGATAGTAAAGATGCAATAGTTAGAGAACTTAAAGGTAGAATACAAGAGTAGTTTTTCTTAATAAGGTCTGAACTTGTAGCGACTCTTGTAGCAACTCTAATATCTCCAAACAACAAGCTATCAAAAAGAGCCAAAAAATGAAAAGTATGAAAAGTTAATACAAAGCAAAGAACTCAAGCATTCTGGGTACCATCATTAAGCTACTAAATACTAAAAATATATTTATTCAACTTTATAAAGTAAAAACATATACAGGTAATATCCTAAATAATTTAGTGGACAAGGTAGCGAAAAAAGATATACAAAAGAGAGAAGTAACATCCTTTACAGTAAATGAGATACAGAGAATAATACTCAGACCAACCTGGAATACACAACTAATTGATACTCTAATACGAAGCTTCATCAAAGTGCTTATCCAAACATTTCACAAAGTAGACTAGTTATTTGCCTTAAACCAAAAGAATAGCATCCATCAAAGGAGATTTGACAACCAGGATTGAAAGATATTTAGAAACCTGTAAAAAAAGGAGGAAAAAAAAAAAGCAAGGTTCTTCAAAGTGAATAAAAAATGAAGCTTCAGACTCAAGAGTCTAAGTGGATTATTGCCTATGCTGTATCTATGTAAAAAAAATTGTGAAAATCTGTACCTAATAGCAATTTGCAGAAAATACAAAAAGAAAAAAAAAGACTTTGAACATCTAATATCTTGTGAGATAAATGAATAGCACTGGGTAAAAAAAAAGTATTCAATCGCAAAAGAAATTTGGAGGAAGCTAGAAGACTCTATAAAAAAGAAAATTTCTCAAACCAACATTTACTCAGTGTTTGCTAGTAAAAGCGTCAAAGACTGACACAAGAAAAGACACTATCTAGCAAGGGGACTAATTGAGACAGACCTTTTAGCCTCTCTTATATCAACAGGAATCATCAGAAAAGATGCAGAATTAATAATACTTGAATGGTAGAACAAGTAGTACAGCTTCTTTTAAAAAGAAATCTGGCTCCAATGATGCAAAGAAACTGTAAAATAAGAAAAAGAGCTACAAATAAACCCAAAAGAAAAAAAGGTCCTAGACAATAAAGATTACTAGAGAAACAAGTGTATCCAATCTGGAAGATCTACTAAATGCTAGCACAAAAGGAGGAAAAGAGAGAAAAACTACTTGGACAATTTTAAGAAAAAGTTAATATAGTAACAAAGAAGATAAACAAATAAATATGAACCAGAAAATGGTCCAGGTGAAACAAAAATTAGATTAGATCATGACAGGCTATAGATTCAGGCCAATGAACTGCAATTTCATTATCTGAGATAGATAAGAAAAAGACAGAGAGGTTAATTCTACTTTGGCAAGTCAGATACTAATTAGCAACCGGGTGAGCCACACTTTAGTTTAAAATAGCATAGCTATAATTAGATATCTCATTTTTTATAAATATAAATCTTATAATATAAAATAAAGTTGTGATATGATTATTAAAAAAAAAAAAAAATTTCAAATAAATATAGGAACTACTAAACTATTTACAATTTTTTGTATATTTACGAAAACAATAAGATTTTATAATTTATCATCATGGTGATGTATCATCACCTCTAATCAACCAATTAGAGTGCAAAATTAGATATAATATAAAATTGAAGCAATTATGATTTTTTTTAAAATATCAGCTATAGTACAAAATTTTGCCTATTAAACCATCTCTCATATTTTAACAAAAAACCTAATCGAACTCTTACTTTAACCCTAAACTAATAAATTAATTTATTGTTTTGATTTCATATTACACCAGATCTTATAAGGTGCGATAAATTACATAGGCAATAAAATATAAAATTTTAAAATTATTATATTTTTAGTAAATTTATTTTGAAATTTTTATATTACTGTATTTTTTCGATTTATAATTTATATTTTTGCATCTTTTCAATATTTTGTTGTATATTGATTTATACAAATTTATACAAGTTTTTACAAGATTTTGATGTTTGTTGTTTATAAATATCTCATATTTTTATACTAGTTTTCGACTATTTATATTTTGCTATATTTAAATTTACTATGCTATAAAATGTTTGTAATTATTACATTTATGTAATACTTCAAAGTTACTATAATATAAACTTTTGTAATTACCTCTACATAATACTCTGAACTAATCATAAGTTTTTTATAAGTTTATCCTTGTGTAAAAACTTATGGAGGTTTATATATATATATTTTTGCCAATGTTGTCTAGTTATACTAAAGATTAACTTTTTTTTATATTAAATTAATGTTTTATATTCATCTTCAGCTCTATTTTTATAACAAATCCAATATTTATATTCTATAAGAACCTATATGTGTTTTTCAATATTTCTTATTTTTTCTGCTTTTTAATAATAAATAAATGCTTTATGTTCATTTTTTACAACTCCATTATCCTTTTAATCTAATTACATTAAGATAAAAATATCTAACATTAAATACAGTATTTTATTTTTGTTTCCTATCTCTGTTAATAAATTAATATAAGTGTCTATATCTTTTCTGATTTTTAATTATAAATGAATACTTGTGTTTATACTTTTAGCTCAATCCCTTTATAAAAACAGTATCCAGAATATTTTTAAGTTGGAAAATTTCTAAGTTAGCATTTCTTTAAATCAGTAAATAATATACATATAGCAGATATGAGAACCGAATCTAGCAAAATAGTAAAAACTATAATTTATACTCAGTAATTTGCAATTAAACATTCTGTTTAGAGTGATTTGTGATCACTAGAGGTACAAATGAATCATCCCAATGATGTTCCAATGTAGTTATGGCAATCATTAAGATGATTCACTTGCCAACTTTTATTGCAGTTTATCTATTCCTAAAAATTACTAATGTAGTGTTAATTTAATTACCAATTCTTTCAGTATATTACCATGTCTATCTACCAAAACTGTGCTGCCTTTAGTACCCGGTCTTAATAAAAAAAGTTAGATAAATCCAGAGTACTTAACCAAAAGCGGGTATTATGCTTGGAGGTTTAATGTTACTATTATAATTAAACTTATAATATACCCTTGAGGGGGATATTAAATTAGAGATACTAAAAGCTGTTCAGTACGGTATTTGCCCACTTATACTATATAATATCCGGAGAATATAAAGAACATCTGTTTAGAATAATAACTCGTGAATATTTATTATTTTACTCGTGCAATTTTCAACTTAGATGAGTGTAAGAAAAAATTTGACTATTAATTTTCTGGAGGGAATTGTCCAAACCGAACTTCATGAACTTCCGAACTGAACTTGAACCTGAACTGAACACGTTTTGAAAGTTCAATACCGAATTTGAACTTGAATTGTGTTTTGCTACAGTTCAGGTTCAGGTTCAGTTCGAAATTTTAAGCGCAATTTGGTTCGGGTTCATTGGAACACTAGTTGAGATATTTTTAATTTATTAGTCTTTGACTCATTATAATTGGGCATACAAATTCACGTGATGCGTATAACATGAATAACATTCTTTACATATCGATATATATACAAACTTATTATTTTTTAATGAGTCTATTTTTACGTTTTCTTTTGTATCAATTCGCAGAGATAAGCAATTCTGAGTGTTACTTTCAAAAGAACAAAGTTTCGCCTATATTAAATTTCTTTGACAAATTGGATGATATATATAAACATACTAGTAAATAGAAATTCCAGTCTAAACATATACAGTAACATTTTTAAAAAAACAATGAAATGCACTTAGATTTGCTTATAACTAATAAAGTATAGTCAAAACGCGTCAAAACTCGTCTTTTATTATGTCACAGTTGTAAGTTATGATAATTTATTATCGTAGTCATTTAGAAAAATTTAAATTAAGACTATCTAGTAGAAAAAATAATAATAATCTAAATTATCATATATGTAAATAATTATTTATGTAGTTTAAGAAACATCCAGCATTATCAAACAACCAAGAACTAAAATAATTTCTAATGACCGAGGATCTTTTACATTTTCCCAAGCAGTTTTTGTAATATTTAGATTACCAACAACATCCCAATTATCTTTAGTTAAATGTTCAGGTCTCTTTAAGGACGCTATAATCACTTTATTCTTTTTCTTTGCAGAACCAATCAAAGATGGTTGCACTTCATATTCGATCCATTCACAAATAAGATCACAATCCTTTGCACCAAAGACACTTGGCCTCCATCTATAGTCTTTTCCTTCAAAATAAAAATGCCAGGTATTGCTGATTGAACCTGTACGACGAAGTTCGGTATCTGCGCCGATAAAGCATTCGCTTTTTATGGTAATAGTTGGCTCACCTGCTGGAGAAACTTGCATTGCTTCGAGTATAGTGAAATCATTATAAATTTGTTTTAAAATACTATGATAAAGAGAAGTTTTAGAGGATATTATATGTTTTGAATAAATAGTATGATAAATTGGATCGCTTTCATAAATGTCTTCACAATTCTGAGAAGTTCCCTTTATAGTTTCGTCTACTCTAACATTATCAATTGGATAAAGAATTTCAATATCACTTCTTGAGGAAGATTTTCGCACGACAAGGTAAGTTAAAGAATTCTGATAAACACTGCTGCTTAAAAATTCAGATAGTCTAGATAATGATTCCGGAGAACCATAAAGGCGCGAAGGTTTGAGTGGACTAAGTAATTCAGGTTGAAAAACACCAGAATAAGATCTTTCTTTACGTATTAATATTGAACGTTTACGGTCCGATGTACCCCCTGCTTTTTCAGTTAATGCAGTTGTTTCATGATCGTTAAGTATGGTCTTGTTTTTTTCGTAGCTATTAGTTTCGTTAGCTACGCTAGGACTCGTACTTTCTACTTCAGGAAAATAGTTGTTTGAAGGTTTAGCAGAATTTTCTGTCGTATCTTTGGATATATCTACTATGTCCTGAGAAGTTTTCTTTTTGATAGCATTCGTGAATAATTTTAACATAGTGTCTTTGTGGGAATAATTCTGCAAACATGCGTGTACATATGTTTGACCTTTTTATATCATACATCAATAAATGATTGTCATCAATTGGTGCTGATGACGTATTATTTATATTACGCATAAAGATAATGTAAATGATGCTTATTAATTTAAGGGTCCAAAACACGCATATATGCATATCGATATACAGTATGAAGTGGAAATACACAATCTTTGCTTCTGTAAACTCTAAATTATGATCATCTTAAAAAAAAAAAATTTATATACATATATACGTACGTACATTTAATAACGGTTACGGGTTAACTTTTCGAAATTCATTTTTCTGAAATACCATTTCGCCGAAGTCATAATGCTTACAATCAATTTTACTGACAAGACGTAGTTTTGATACCTCAGTTTCCGAAATATCGATAGCTAATATTCACGATCAGTCATTTAACTGCAATTACCATTTCACCGAACATTAAAAACTATGGACTATTATGTCTTGTCGGCTATCTGTATTATGAGATCAGAGAAATGATACCTCGGGAGCAACCACGTTAATAGCAGATAAAATCCCAAAATGTAATATATCAGATATGAAGGAAAAGATCACATATATCTACTTTTTTTCATACGTATAATATACTGTCTGTATAAAGTAATAAATTCGGAATTAATCTTTCAATAATTGCCTAAAATATTTCACACTTCAACCTCTTTAAGCTTAGTGCAGATGGCAGATATACGTACTCACGCTAAAAATGCTTTTTTTTACATTGTATATAATTTGATTTTAAATCATGTATCTCTTATGAGAACAATATAAAAAATTATTTTAGGTGAGCAGAATTATGCACCGCAGTACCCTGGATAAAATAATATGCAGAGGTCAGATGTAACGTTGTTGAGAATGCTACTACAGAATTAGTATTAGCATGTCTGATTGGTTTTTGAACATATGCTCAATGATGGCGCAGTTGTTTGTCAATATCCCAACACTGGAACAAATTTAACAAATATATATCAGGTTTTCTATTTTGGAAAATTTCGAGCTCCAGTCCCCGTTGCTCGGCTAAACTAAACCGCCGATTTTTGTGTATCTTTCCAATTATGCGATTCTCACCATTATTTTGTTGAAAGAAACGAATTGTTGATCTTTTATTCTTTTACTTCAAAGTTGATATTAAGTCAACAGATTTATCTTGATCAGACCAACACTTTTATCGCTATGTTCTTCCGAGTCAAACTTATGGTTACGGAAACTTTATTATTTTAAATTAAGGTGTCTGAATATTTATAATCTTGCAAACATAATATATATATGGTTTCCAATTCATGATTATTCATGATTATTCATGATTATAAGGTATAATCCACTTAGCATTTTTATTTGCTTAGCTTAGATCGACGTATAGTGTGGTCTCACAAAGCGAAAACAAAGTTCATTTACAAAAGTATTTCGAATAAGGTTAATAATGCAACTAAATTTATTATATATATATATGTTGGCGTCAAATTAAAATATGCGTCAGATTACCTCCCACCCTAACCATAATAAAAACTCTTCACATTTAAATTCTGCAAATTTTAATCTGATTCATGACATAACGATAACTAGAAGAGTTTTATTGTTATATAATAGAGACAATTACGTAATTAAAGCGGGTTACTATCGACACAGAAATTAGTACCCTTTAAAAATGTTGATTATTACCGATACGAAAGATTAAGTCATGTGGATGCGGTTTCGGATGGATTGTAACCAGGGACCTGTAAAAATTTGGAAAAAAATAAATCCAAATTCATAACCATTACCCAAATAAATACAAATTTTTATAAAATTTTCAATTTTTATTGGTCAAAAATCATTAAAAAATCAGGTGACGCAGAAAATTTCGAGATTGTAGATATTATTTTTGGTTCTGTAATTGGCTTTTTTGAAGTTTAATACTAATGAAAAAAAATTTTCTTTAATTTTCCAACGATTATAATTTTAATGTTGAAAAAAAGGTATCCAAATTTATACAAATTTTTGCACAAATTTTTTTTATAATCCAAATAATTTTTATAGGTCCCTGATTGTAACATATTATTAATAATCTATACTAGTCATTGCTAAATACAATTATCAACTTCTACATATCCAATAATATGGCTCTATTAAGCAATGCTCAAATGAAGATCCCTCAAGCTCTATTTATATCACTATCTATGACTAAACTGTAATTTTACATTTATAAAATTTTCTTTCACTAATATTTTGTATGTTATTATAATTAAAACATGTTTTCAAAGTGTATGCCTTGTCTTGAATCACAATTTTCATGCCAGTTTCTTAAGCTTTAGATTTCAGCTTCTATTTAAATATATAGAATGTCAAAAGTAAAAACCATCCAAATTATTTTTAGTAAGTTTTTTTAAAAATTTAAAATATCTTAACAACTATTAAACCAAATCTACTAATTTTTTTATTTTATTTTAATTCTATAAATATATAGAATTAAAATAAAAAAAAATTTATCAAGTTTGGTTTAATAGTTGTTAAGATATTTTTACTTGAAGCTTAGAAAAAATTTACTTAGAAACAATTTGGGTGGTTTCTACTTTTGACTACCCATGTAATGTAATCATGTTAACATGCTTCTCATAATCTTGGATTTGATTTTTTTTTCTTATTTTACATGCCTTTTATACCAAACTTTAGAATTATAACTACATTATAATTTTTTGCAAAATAATTTATAGTCTTCTTATAGAGTTTATTTCTCAAATTTTTGATTTTTCAAAATATTCAAGTAATAGCTTTATTAATTCTCTTAGCCTTTTTCTTTTTTCTTCTAAATAATAAATTTTTTAATTTGTCTCTTTTTGAGCTTAGTTTGTCAATATAATACTTCAATTTTATTAATCTTTAAGAATTGTTCTTATCAATTTTGAAAGTACTAATAATTAGTGAATATATTATAAATAAGGTTTTTATATCTAGATCTATTGTACAAATTTTTTATATGTTTTTTTAGCTTTTATTAATCTTTTATATATTTATAATAAGAACTATTTATTTGTTTTATAATAATATGTTAGTTTAGGGGTTGGGATCTCGTGACCTAGTGGTCTAGGCACCCAACCCTCTACAAGCAGGTTTCGGGTTCAAGTCCTAGTAGATATGTTATCTACGAATATTTGAAAGTATCTGCTGTGGGAAGTCCAAATGAATACAAGTCTGAATTAGGAATTTCCAGAAGGAGGTCCATTGTAGAGTAGTTGGCACTACGTATAATAGTAGTTATTACAGAAAGTTCTATTACACAAAGGTTGTGTATGTAAATTCACAATTGGCAAGATAGCACCAACAACCCCTAAGGCGGTATTGGAAATCTTGTTTGGGAGAATAACCGGGCAGTAACCAGAATTGGAAAGTGGTGAGAAATGTGGTAAACACAAAGGGATCTGTGGTAAAGAATTAGCCTTATCAGATTTGGAACATCTCTGGTATATACAGAACTTTCTGGCCAATAAGAAGTTGAAGCATGGAGGCGTGTATGTGTTGATAGACCTAACAGGCTTTAGTCATACCTATATGGGAGCCTTTGGCATTAAGAGAACTCGGAAACACCAATATAGGTATAGCTGATGTAAGCACATATAGTGCTAACTGGAGGCTACAACTGCCGATAATTACCATAAAAAGAAATGATGACACACCTGTTACCTCTGAGCCTCATAATGCCCTCCAACTATACTGACTACTAGAAGCATTTGCAAAACATGTCTAGGCAGCCTCGTTACCATATTGGGAAGTACAGTTGTTAGTATAGACCTAATCGGATACATTAAAATCTGGGTCCTGAAAGTCACAGAAAACTAGCTAGTTATGGCAGCATGCAGGCTTGAGATACTTACCTATTTGGGTAGAGGCAGCTGCATGGTTTGAAATACGAACTCCTAGAAAGTACGCCAAGTAAGGATTGAGGGAGAAATCGCTCTGCCAGGCATACCAAACTGGAAGCAATAAGCACCTACCTGGTATATACCAATTTGGGAATTGAAGATAAAAGGTTTGTAGGTAATGTGGCGAATATGTAAATACTAATTGGCAGCTGTGGAGGGATATATAAATCCAGGTTAGCTGTATAGTGGAGATATAGCCATAGATAAATAGTTTGTATATCTGATATTCTAGTCTTAATACTTGATGTAATATGTATATATATCAGCACCATCATATGTCAATCATTTAAATATTATTAAATAAAGTTTAAGTGTGGGTGCTACATTCTTATAATTAAAAAAAATAATAATATGTTAGTTTATAATCTTGTACAAATATTAATAACTATTTATTATTATTTTTTTTGGTTTCAAAATAGCCAGATCATAAATCTCTCTTTTTCAAAATTAGCTTATTTGGTTTATTTCTATCTGATATTATATTTTTATTAAATAAATATTTTATAAAATCTTCTATAATCTTTTTTTCAGACGATCATCAAAACCAAATTTTCCTACTAATAGAAAACCAAATTTTTTGTTGGAGAGTCGTGGCCTACATTGTGGTTTGTCTAGAGGTTAATGTTTTTGCTTTGCAGGACTTCTCTAAAAAGATATTTGGCATGCAAGCCAAGAGTGTTATTATACAAGATAACTGGCAAAAAGTGCCCTTGTATAAAAAATCTTGGTGGAGTGTGGGCAAAGAGCTCACTTTTATCAATGAAGTTTCTAGATCATTACTTCAAAGAAGAATGCAGGGGAAACAGCAAAACTTTTTCTTTTCTAAAGCCACACTCTTTCTTTTGGGTTTGGTGGCTCTTCTCTTTCTTCTTCTTGCCCTCCTATCAGTTTTCCAAAATTTTCTACAAAAAGTAGAGATTTGGCTTACCCTCTTCAAAAAATCAGCATTGTTGTTCTTGATTTTGCTAAGATGGCGTGATAGGACCCCAAGCTATTAGTATATAGGTCACAAGAAATTCGAAATTTTTTATAATAGCTCTAAGCAAGCATTTTTACTAATA